TGACATTTTAGCATTCTTGAGTGTGTTTATGAAGATGAACCCAGGCTTGTGTGTGGCATTACATTACATGGATTTCTTCTGTGGGCTTCAATGGGATTCTTGATGCCTGTGGTTATACTTGCCGTCCGGACGTCTAATGTTGAGGCTAATCAAAGAAGGCTCAGAATGATTTTCCATGTTCATGCAATTCTGCAGGCAAGTCTTTCTGAATTTCTTCTCTGTTTTCCCCTTCATTGTCACTTCCGTAAAAAATCACTTTTTTTTTCCCTAAACAGCTTATATATTTATTTTACCTTTTAACTTATTATTTAAGGAGGAATGAATAAGGATTGCATATGAGCTTACATTAGATTGCTAGGGTCAGTTTCCCAGATGTGGACTTCAAATGACAGTGAAAGAGAGATAAGGGCAGCTTTGGGGAAAAAAGGGAGGAAAAGTTGTGTATCTATTATTATTTCATACACATGTCATTTTATTTCTTATAGTACCAAATATCATTAACAGTGGCAATTTTTTTATTATCAATTATTTTATTTTTGAATTTCTTTGAACTTCTTCCCCTGGTATCCTGAGTCAAGGCCATCTTCCAAGCACATCAACGGGCTCAGATTAATCCAGAGCGCACCGTAAAGGTGTCGAAAAGGTATTTGTGCTAGGTCTCGTGGTTATTATCAATTATTTTATTGAACCTAGGTTTATTCATATAAATTCAAACAAGGGCTAATGTCTTCTAGTCTGTTAAAAAGGACGGTAATGAATGATAAAGAGAGAAGGAACATTTTTTTTTAATAAAATATTTTTCCACATGATTGATGGCTTCTAGCTTTCTTGATTTGGTTTGGAATCAGAGGGTGCGAAGGGAAAACAATTTAACTGTTTCTGTGATCCTACCCAAAGTTTGAGCCCAAGAATAACTAAAACCAGAAGTGAAAACATTTCTATTAATCATTATTAACAGAAATAACGATCTATAAACCTCATTTTGCAGTGATCATGTTTGGCTTTGGCATGTAATAATACATTTTTTATCTTAAAAAGTTTCAAGAGAAGAGTTAGAGATTAATTCAACTAATAGTATATACTTGACCAGAATCAAAGATTCTCCTCAAAAGGTTTGTTGTTTTAGGAGAGATTTATTTTAGCTACTTAGTATCTCATAGAGTGGTTTATACTACAAAATGTAAAACTTAATTTACATTACCTTTATCTCTTAAACTAGCCGCCTTTAAAAGATTAGTTTCTGGATTAGAAAGAGCCACCTCTTAGTTTGGGCTTGATAATAGCTCGAACTCAAGTAAGTGATAGGTTGAGAGAGTTAGTAATAGATTTGTGTTCAGTGGATATTGGCCGGTCACACAGACTCACACTCAGACACAATGACTAAGCATTTTCTAGAGCCGTCATTTTATATCATCTATTGATTGAAAAATGAGAATCAAAAGGGGTAATCATGTTTTCAGGGGGTCTAAAAGGAGGACTGTATGGTTCTTTCTGCACTGGATGCTTGGAACTGTGATTTCCTTTCTGGGCATTCTAAATGTATATATAGGCTTACAAGCCTACCAAGAGAAGACATCAAAAAGCATAAGAATATGGAACATACTGTTCACCGTTCAGCTTGTTATCATAGTGTTCTTCTACCTTCTTCAGGACAAATGGGTTTATTTACAGAAGCAAGGAGTGATTTTAGGCAATGAATGTTCAGAAATTTGTTCAGATATCAAGCAGAAGGAAGCGAAGGCTGAGACTTGTTGAGGGGGACTTTTCTTATAGGTTTTAACTATGTGGATATATGTTCTTGAATAAGGGGGTATTTGGCAATTGCCCCAGAAGTGTTTCAGGACCCCAAACCATGGTTTGAGGAGGCTGACTGCCAAACACCAATTTTTTTTTTAAAAACCTTGGTTTCCAACCAAACCTTGGTTTTGAGCAGGCAAACCATGGTTTGGGCTTAAGCATCACGCAGGTCGCTTTTGAGGAGTAACAAAATAGTCGTTGGAGTAATTATTACTCTTGTCAGTAGCTCCCAACAATGAAAAAGCACCTCATCTCCCATTCTAAGCTTAACGAAGGCCTCTTCTCTAATTTCTCTTCTCCCATTCTGTCGCCCCTTCTGAAGATTTCTCTTCTCCTGTGCCGTCGCCTCTTCTCCCATTCGTGCTATGCCGTCAGTGAGTCGCCAGAATCATCCAACGACTCAATCCTCCCATAGGGTGGTTTGAAGACAGGGCTGGAGAGAATCGGCACTCGGCGCGACTTAGCAGAACGTACCATGGCAGCCTGACCGAACGGCGTCGTATTAGAGTGGATAAAAGCGATACCACCAAGGGCAGCCATGGCGACGGCCATGTGAGCTTCGGAGACGGTGTCCATTGGAGAAGCGACACGGGGGATATTTAGAGGCACATTATGACTGACTCTGGTAGCAAGCTGAACGGCATCAGTAGGGAACTCAATGTAGTGAGGGAGGAAAATGACGTCGTCATAAGTGTAGGAGTTACCTTGGCAGAATAGCTTCTCGGCAGTGAAGCCGTCGTCAAACGGAGGCGGTGTGTAGTCCATTATCATTGCCAGCAGTATGCTGTGAGGGTTCAAAGAAGGAGACAAAGTGACTTTGTTTTTTGTTGTTTATTAAATAGAGCGACTTCACTGCAAGAAATCAGAAGAAACGGACAAGCACAGAGTGCGACAAAGCTGTAAAGATAGGAAAGATAAACAGAAGGGGATAAGGAAGGAAGTAGGGAAAGCTCAAAGCTTGGGAGTACTTTAATAAATAATAATATTTTTATTGGCAAAATAATATTCATGTTTAAAATCTTTAATAAATAATAATATTTTTTTATTAGCAAAATAAATCATTTTCCTAAAAATATTGTAATTATTTTATAAATATATATACATATTAATTATTTATTATTCATATTATTTATGTCTTATTTATTATGTTACCAAAATATATATTATTAAAAAAATTATTACTTCAAATAAACATATACTATGAAATTTATTTTATATGTAATTATCATTTAAATTTATGTCTTTTTTAGTAATTTTCACATATAAAAAAACACTTCTAACAATAACTATCCAAACACTCTCACTTTATCAGAATCACTTTTTCAGAAAATCTAGTCTTTCAAAATCTATTATTCCCATAATCTATTATCCAGAAACTATTTTCCAAACCATGGTTTGGCCTTATCCAAACACCCCCTAAGTTATTATTGTTTTCAAAATAGCCATGACCATTCAAAGATTATAAGCTACATACCAATAACTGAATTCTTTTTTGTAATATATTACCTATGGTGTTTAATACAAGAGCTAATTGAGAAGTTGACTTTAATCTTAAATGTAAGAACTTAATCTACTTTTTTTCTCAAATTTATAATTTTTTTAAAAATATTTCTATTGATTGAATATATTAAAAAGTTTTTACCAAAAAGTAGTTTTAATGCATATAATTAAAAAAATATGTTAGAGTAGTCAATATACATTTATTACAAATAACTAACTCAACTATTTTTCTTAATATCTTCAAATTAGTCATTTGTTTATTATGTTAAGAAGTGGATATAGTACTTGAATTTGAATGAGCAACTTCATGAACTTTGAGTGTCATTAACCTGCGGAGATCAAAAAATGAGGCTCATTTGTGAGATTTCATGCCTTGCTATTTTCTGCGATCTTGTTCATGAAGACTAGCAGAGTCTGATACTTTTCAATTAAAAGAGAGTAATGGGAAGTATATATTTACAAGAAGTATCACTCTGCCAACTTTTAATGTAAGACTTAATTAACTAATTTAAATAGATTAAAAATATTAGTTAAATTAGTTAATATGACATGTTTTTTTAAAATATCCTAAATATCTTTTTTTAATTCCCTCCCTCCCTTTCCTATTGAATTATTATTGAAGGAATATTAATAGGGTTAATTTGAAAAAAATTGATAAACATGTGAAATAGATCTTACATATAAGACTAACATCAACTCATCAATTAGGTCCTATATTAAGAAACGGAAAAATATTTTATACTCACTAAAGTCTTTTTTACAAGACCCTATTAACTATTTTCTTAAAATTATGAAAATTAGTTAAATATTAAAACTTACACAACATTTCAACATTAATTTGAATTAGAAAGATTCACTGGGGAAAGAGGGTGGAAAAGCCAAAGGGATAGGGACAATTTTAGAGATTAGTTGCAAATGTTTCATTAAATTTTATAAAGAATCTTTTATTAAGGTTTAAAAGATAGAATCTTATAAATAGGACCAAAGAATCTTTTATTAAGGTTTAAAAGATAGAATCTTATAAATAGGACCAAAGCGTGTAATTTTTAAAATGCTCACCTATTTCATGATAAAATAGGATTTTTTTTTTGTTTGTTTGAACTTAATTGACATTTTATTTCGCTAAAAAAAATAATGATTGCGATTATATGGTGTATTAGGAAGATAATCTTCCCTATGCGTGAAATGAGCCTCCTTTTTCATGCTTCCAGCTTGCATCTACCTGTCAATCTAGTGGCACTGGGTTACAAACGGAGACAAATCTGAAAGCTAAATTTGTTAATTTCAATCTTAATTAATAAGTTATCAATAACAATATATCGATATATTTAACAGCAACAAGTTAAGTCGTTGTGAGTGAAAAACAGCTATAGTTAGAAAGTTTTTATTTTTGTTAATATTAAATTTGGATAAATTGTATTTCTTATATAAATTATTGAATTTAATTTGTTTGAAAAAAAAAAAGGTCAACAAACAGTGGGGGATAAGACGAGGTTTAAACCGTGTGGATGAAAAAATAATCATATTAGGATTAAAAACTGATTTTGTTAATACTCCTATAATTTTATATAAAAATAAATAAATAAATAAATAAAGATTCTATTTTTAATAAACGGGCGGTGAGAATTGCAGAATCCGATGCCAAGCAAAGAAAACGAAAAAGATAGCATCTTCATTCTGCTTCCATAAATGCAGGGTGGCAGCAACTCTTCTTTCTCCATTTAGCTTCATCATGCACAGAGATCAAGAACAAGAAGAAGACGAGGCTGGATCTCTGCTGCATTAATGGCGAAAGCTGATAATAAACGCGGGGTGGATGGGAAGCTACGAGATGAAGTTCATCATCCTTACGCCTTTCATGTCTCTGGTCCTCGCAATTTCGCTGCTCTTACTTGGAGGGATCTTCTCAATTCTAGTTGGTCAGTAGCCTTCTCAAATTCCTTTTCTGGCCTAACTGAAAAGCAGATGAATTTTACCTCCTTTCTCATGGACTTCATTGTGTGTTGTTAACCACACTAACTTAACTTTTTTCCCCACCTCGTCATAACAAGTTTACTACTGGTTATTAAAGAGTTCTAGATTGAAGACATACAAATTAGTTTTTAACACGTTAATGGTTTTCAAGATTGAAAGAACCATGGGGGAATTAAAAAAGACAGGTGGAAATGAATTCTGCAGAAACCATTTGAATTTGAAATGGATGCTATATATTGCAGATCAATTTTGCCTCTTGATCATGGCTTTAATCAGTTATCAGTTAGTGTAGGAACAGCAGTGCACTTCTTATGGCATATTGTATTTGGAATTTCCTGTGTCAATTCTCAGAATTTCTACCGATTCTGAATTTGTTGGTGAAATGGGTCTTAGCGTAGGAATGTAGTAAAGCAAAATGCTTTACCAACAGGGTTTCTAAAACGTGCACTTGTTGCTTATGATGAAAGGAACTATAACCAAATAGAAAAGAGGGGTGGGAATGAACTCTTTGTTACTGAATCTGTTTGAATTGAAACAGATGCTGCACGTTATAGAATCAGTAAATAAATTCTTAATGATCTGGTTCTTTGTTTCTTCTTCTTCTTCTTCTTTTTTAACCTCCCAACTCTTTCTGGGTCTTTGTCTAGTGTGATTTTGAGATAAGAATCACAGAAGGTTATAGCTTCTTGGATACAAACCTTGTGTTTGAAGTTGTTTTTAATTTTTTTTTTTTAATACGGAGAAATATTTCTTGTGCTTCTGCAGAATTAAGAATTTTGGATATTATTACCATAAAATTTTTGACAAATGATGTGTTTTTGTCTACATTTTAGTTTCTAGTTCATCGTAGCTTGCTTGACCAAATATAAAGGGTAAGTTGCACAAACTTACGCTTGTTTTCGAAGTAGACACAAGCTTCCTCTCAAAATAAAAAGGATGTTTGTGTAATTTCAGCAGAATTCAATAGAAATCTGTGTAATTTACTCTTTGTTTTCTGGATTAGTTTGCATAGGTTTTGAAAATGAAAGCGCAGTATGTGTAATTTTAAAGGGAAATATGTATAGGCTTGTATAGGCTTTGAAAATAGAGAAAAAGTTTGTGAAATTTTAACGAAACTCAATCAAGTTCTGTCTAATTCACTTAAGTATGAAAGGTGGAACATATAAAACAAAATATGCTGATGTCTGTTTTAACTTTGGCTGTAAGCCTGAAATTTCCTACATCCACCTTCCATTAGGACATGATCCCATTGAAGTGTTGCTCTGTCAATGAGAAGGCAAATGGCTTTACCTGAATAGCTCGTGTAATTGTATAATATTTTGTCACCATCAAACAATTTCTTTCTTTGTTTTTTCCCCAAGTGCTTGTCCTGTTTACTTGTTTGATTTTATTTACTGTATGCATCTGAACATGATAAATATTATGTTCCAGAGCTTCATTCATCATCTTTAAAACTCATGTGAATGCTCTAGAGTTTCATTGACACCTCTTACATCGTTATAATTTAATTTATGTGCGTTCTGATTAATATTTTATGTGATACAGGAAGGATGAGAACTACAAGCGAATTGTCATTGCCTGCTTTATACAGGCAGTTTACTTGCTCGAACTTGACAAACAAGAGAACCGAACCAAAAAAAATGCTTTAGCTCCAAATTGGTGGATCCCCTTTAAATACAAGCTTACTCAAACAATGATTGATGAAAGAGATGGATCAATCTTTGGTGCTCTATTTGAATGGGATCAACGCGCAGCAATGGCTGACTTAATATTAGCTAGACCTAGTGGTGCGCCAAGAGTAGTTTTAGCACTCAGAGGAACATTACTCAAAACCCCAACAATCCGAAGAGATATCGAAGATGACCTTCGCTTTCTCGCCTGGGAAAGCTTGAAGGGATCTTCTAGGTTTAAATTAGCTCTGGAGGTACTAAAATCTGTTTCTAAGAAATACGGTAGCAGCAATGTCTGTATTGCAGGGCATTCTTTAGGAGCTGGATTTGCACTTCAAGTAGGAAAAGCACTAGCAAAAGAAAAAATATATGTGGAGACACATTTATTCAATCCACCTTCCGTTTCACTGGCAATGAGTTTGAGATACATGGGCAAAAAAGCAGGATTGATTTGGAAGAGACTGAAATTAATGCTTCCTACAAGTAGTGTTGAAGCCAAAACTTTGAGTGAAGGATCATCAACTCAATCAACTGGCTTGAATAATTCTGGCTCTGGGGTGGGCAAATGGATTCCATATTTGTATGTGAACAACAGTGACTATATCTGTTGTTATTACACCAGTCCTGATGACGGCAAGGGCAGTATTGATATTTCAAATGGCCAAGTTTTAGCAAAGATGTTTGTGGTTTCCAAGGAGAAACAGAAGTTCCTGGAGGCTCATGAATTGGCACAATGGTGGTCAAGTGATGCAGAGCTTCAGCTTGCTATTCAAAATAGTAATCTCATAAGCAGGCAGCTTAGATCTTTATATGCAGTTGCAACTTCATAATTAACATTGGGAATGCACAAGAAGAAATTAGTTATAAACAGATCTTGATATTTCTTCTGCTTCATTATACTTGTCTAAAAATTTGTATCATATACATGAGTCCATTGAAGTCTTGTTGTTCCCTCAAGTACTATGAAGTGTATGCTTTAAAAGAAAAAAAGATCCATACATACATCGGATGCATATTTTATAGGAATACAGCTTTTGCATAGTATCTTTGAAGACAATTAAGTATGAATGGGTGGTTGATAGATTAGAAGGGTGAGAAGGAGTAGGGATGCATTGGAACAAAATGTCTTAGAAGAACCATAAAATTAGGCGGCTTTTAGAGGGAAGACTCTGCCTGGGTTAACCCTTAGAGGAAATGCCAACTTTAATCACAAATCTCATGTTTTATAGGACAATTTTTCTCACATATTTATCTTGTACTAAGCAAAATTATTTAAAATAAGATAATCTAAACAAGCACATATCTATGAAGTTGTAACTTAAAAGTTGTCCACCTTATTTTCATACTTAATTTGGGAGATAAAAAATTCAAAGGAAAACCAAGGAAATTTCTTCGCCTGATTTGATGGTAATTGTCATAAATGATTGGGTTTTTTGCTTAGTTCAATATTGGAAGGTTTAGATGTTTTTTGTTACGTCTTTATAAAGGAATTTACTGAAAATGATAACTATGGATAGTTTTCTGACATGACTAGAATATCTTGTGTTAATATCGGTACCTTTGTGAAGTAGTAGCACGAATCATGAAGGATGCCCTGTGATGGCATTTCTCGTGAGTTCGAATCCATGCCTACAAGCACTAACTTCCCCCCCCCCCCCAAAAAAAAATCTTGTGTTAATTAACTTCTGGAAAAAATATGTTGTAATTTTAATTTACTTCTAAAAAATATGTTGTAATTTCTTTTCTTTTTAACATCAGTATTATCAACTAATTTGAATTTAAGTTAAATGATGTTGCACATTTGATTGCTCAATCCAACCACTATGGTTTCTCCATACTAATTTAACTATAATTATAACTCATTTTATATGAGCTCCTTGTATTAGAGATTATTGATCCTTTTTAAGTGTCACAATTGCTAAATTATGTCTACACTTGTCGCATGATAGCCATCAAAGGAAGCAATAGTAATGAAGGGAACAACAGGATTTATACAAAAGCGTACACTCTAGGATTAATCTCATTTTTCTATAGAACAACTATACAAAGCACAAACATTAAAAGCAAACCAACAAAGAAAAATTCATCACCGAAGCATTTTGGTTGATCTGCCATAAAAAGACACTTTCACAGCAGTGCCCACAACTCACACTCATATGTCCTGACCTCTTGTTCTGGCTGCGCATAACAAGCATGCAGGAAGCCTTGTTCAACCTCTGCATCAAACAGCAGTGACTCCAGATTCTGATATGCCAATAGACGATCCATACACTGGTTTGCCTCGGAGCTTCCAAAGGTTGTGTCATCCAAGCATGTCTGGTTGTAGCAGCAGAACTCAGAAGATAAATAAGAGATTGTTGTAGTGGAAGAAGATGATGCTGAAACCTCAGAAGAATCAAAACTGGTTTCAAGGTTGTCTGTATTCTGAACATCATCTGCTAGAATAATGCGATTCTGAGGTTTCACTCTTGGTTCAGAAATAGGTGAAGATGAAGATGACATAGTTGTTGAGCTTGCAGTAAGATTTCCAGTTAGCTCCTGAACTAGCTTCTTGAATCTGGAGCTGTGTGTGATGTAGACCTTTGGCCTCAAAGCTTTGATCATCCTGCTGAACTGTTGTTTTTGGTTCTTAGATATTTTCAGTGATGCTTCACTTGGTTTCTTTCCCATGAAGACGATGATGATGATGATGATTCCAATGTTATATGCAGCTAGCTGGCTCCTTTGGTATTAGCTCCAACCTTATAGAGAAGTCCAAGGAGCCATGTGTATAAATAATCATTTTATAGAGAAGATGGGTTCAAAGATCATTAACAGATTAGATGCTGAAGTTGATGTTGATCCATTGGGGAAAAAAAATAATAAATGAATATAATATGAAAGGATTGTTTTATTAGGAGTCTCATTCCACACCCACTTGCCAACCTAAATACTAATCTCTTAGAAGATGAAAATTCTGGGTTTTGTTTTCATGTGGTGATGTTGATGTTAGTCAATTCAGTAGGATGGTTTTCATGGGAATTAATATATATATATATATATATTTATATTGAAGAAATGGAAGACTTGGTGTGAGGTAGAAGGGCATTGAGGCCACGCAGCTTACTGTTTAATTGAATATTAAAATAATGCAAGTAACAGCAAGTAGCTTCTGTGAAGGGACACTATTATATAAAATAAAGCAGTATCACATAGTAATATGTAATATGGAGTTTTTGCACCCTGGAATTTCCCTAGAATTTGTGTGAGCTTTTTTAATAGGCATGAAAATGTATAAAATGCTTAATTTGTACGTCAAGTAATATAGAGTATCAAATGATATACTAATATATGTCAACGGCTAGTTGTCTTAGTGGTAACATCACCTGTCATGTTTAGATGAAGTCTCAGATGTCTTATTAACATTAATGATTTTTTTTTTTAAACCTTTTTGTGACAACATCTTCCCCTTTTCCAGTCCATGTTCAGTGTTCTTCTCGCTTTTTATTATGGTTAGTTATAAGTTTAGACACCAAGCAGGTAATGAGAGTCCAACATTCATAGTGAAGACTTTAGATTGGGATTGGGATTACTATCTCATTTTTCTCTCTTTTAATCCTGAAATTTGAACAAATTCTAATTCCCCAATCAAATTTCTAATTAATCAAAAAAAAAATTGCGATGATTCAATATTTCATCCCAAAAAAATAGCAAATTAATTATATTTTAAATCTGAAAAGTATAATTTTGCACAGTAGAGGTATAAAATCTGAAACTTCCTAAGTATACTAATTCAAGTTATAACTCCATTAATATGAATTTTCAGCACCAATCCTCAATAAAAACAACATCAATAATATTCAAATCTCATACACACGAGGCATGAAGAAATTACATTTAGAAAAGAGAAAATGCTGCCGGAAAATGTAAAGAAGCCGTCACTATCGCTACCTCCAACCGAATCTTCATTCTTTCCTTTTTCTTCCTTCTATGGCTCCTCCCTTCCGTCCCGTCTCTATTTCATCAATCCTCTAATCCCTTTTCCCAAGCGTCCCAACATGACACTATGTTTTTGAAACATAAGTCTTTCTATTTGAAACAATCCATTTGAGATACTGTTAGATATTAAATGTGGACATCTTTCTCAATAAAAATTCAAACATTAATTCATCACATCGTAAAAGATTAGCTCATTTCATTAAACTTAATCCTGTTAGTAACATAGCACTAATTAGTAACCCAAATTTACCTAGAAAAAATAAGTCTTGGATTATAAAATTTCAAAATGAGTCCACTTTCAACCCCAAAAAAATCTCCATCAATGATCTCAAAAAAAACCGCACAAAATAATATAATATTCAATAGCCACATGTACAAAAACATTAGATAAAAATTTAATCATTAATTTCTAAGATCTAACCTATTAACGTTCATAAAACACAAAATGGTTAATAAAATAAAATAGAATATAATTGAGCTCAATTATCCTAAATTTATTACTAAAAGGCTAAATGAATGGGATAAAAATATATAAAAATATGATTTGTCTTTGCTGGGATAACGATTGTAATAAATTTTGAAGGCCAAAACCAAGGTTTCTTAAAAATGTATCCAAACATTCATAATAGTGACACACCACTCACTACTGCTCAATAAAATAGAATGGCAATGATTGCTTGTTTCACAAGCATACGAGCTTGAAAAAGAAGCAGAGTGTAACACAGCATGTATGAACGCACACGCACACCCTGTCATTCTCAACCTCATGTTCACACCTAAATCTGTAATTTTGGCATTGGCTATGCGTATCTTAATTGAAAGGCACCCTTTGATTCCCAACAAAATGGGTCTCCGGATTAACATCAACTGATTAATAATTACTCCCTCCGTTTCTTATTATAAGAATCAAATACCCGAATTACGTTGATAAAAAAACAGTTAAAATTAGTTAAGAACAATCAATGTGTAAAAAATATTTTTTTTTCAAAAATACCCTCATAAATAAGGGGAGAGAGCATGAGAGAGAATAATTAAATTATTAAATGAAAGAGAAGTGGAAGGGAGGGAGAGTGTGAGTTAGAGACAATAAATATGGGTAAAATAGGAAATCAACACAAAAAAATATAGACAACTTTTAAGTGTCTCTTATATATAAGAACATACTATAGGTATCAAATGTCTGTTGTAATAAGTAACGAAAGGAGTGATTAATCATGATTAAACAGACAAGGGTCCTGTCATGGCTCAGAAGTTAGAAATATAATACGAGGGGACAAAATATGAATACTCCATTCAGTTTCGGGTCATTTTCAAACGCTTCTGTTTTATATTTTATGAAAACGAATGTTTTTCTCCAAACTACTTAATGGATCTTTCTACAGGATTAAAATATTACTTTCTCTAATCTTTATCTTTAATATAAGAGCTAGGGCCTATTTGGCAAAATGCTCAATTCATGTTTTGGAATCCAAACCATGGTTTGGGTCAGAAGTTTGCGAAACATGGAGATAAATGGACAAACCATGACTTTGAATGAAAATCATAGTTTTGAATTCAAAATCATAGTTTCAAAAGAAGTGAATCTATTCTGCTTTTAGTTCAAATTAGAAAATATGATTGTACCTGTTAGAATAGATCCCAACAGTAATATAACCGTAACACCCCTCAATTATTTTTTTAATCTTATATTTTATAAATATATATACACATTAATTATTTATTAATTATATTATCTTATATATTATTAATTATGTTAGTAAAAAATATATCATCAACAATTTTATTCTTTCAAATTAAAATATATTATAAAATCTATATTTTATATAATTATCATATTAATTTATGTTTTTTTAGTAATTTGCATATATAAAAAGTGCTTTTAATAACAACTATCCAAACATTCTCACTTTATCGGAATCACTTTTTCACAAAATCCATTCTTCACATAATACATCAAAATTACTTCTTGATTAAAACTTCCTTAATGGGTGCAATCACTATAAATACTTTGAAAGTAAAATCAAGGTCATATATTTATGATAAAAGCGAATCCTTTATCCAGCACAGGAAGTAACACTTTAAACCCTCTCAATTGTCACTTGGTACCCTCTCTTTTGTCCACCACTGACGTTCTATGGATCAAAAGTTCCTTCTAAACTTTCAGATCTTAGAGGGTTTTGGATTAAAAGATCTATCTCTGGTCACATAAAAGCCGTAATTTATTTAGATAGAAGATAGAATAGAACCAACTTGCCATTGCATGCGCGGTTGAATGCACGGTCACTTGCAAATAAAATAAATTATGCTAAGAATCCATGGAGAGAAATAGAGAATTAATTAAGTTCATGAAAGAACAATCAATAACCAACAGTGCATCAAACAAAAACTTGTGGATAATATTGCTATAGATAAGATTGATGAAACAACGGATTTCAAGAAAAGAGAGCTATTATTAATCTCGGGGGATATACTACATGACTAGTTTCAAACTTTCAGCAAGGGTAATTTCTCTACATTAAAACAACAAAAATGGATTGAACTCAAGCAGCCAATAAAGTAATTCCACAATAAACCTATCAAATATCTGCGGGTGAGAAAAAATTCTATCTCAAGCTTATCAAGAGAATCAGAGCAATATTTAAATTGCAAAAATGCAATGTCATTACCAGGTCAAGACTTATGGGATTCCTTGATATTGCCTGTCAAGGATGAACCCAATTGTAGCATAAGAGGATATATAGGGCTAAACTCTTTGTCACCCCTGGCCCTCACATTTGCAGCGTAATCATCAAGTGTTGCTTTGATGCCTTTCCAGATCTGATCTTCCCCTTGAGAATCTAGCCACAACGAATACTGCAAATATGTTAGTTTGTTCCTTTGAAGAGGTGACTGCAATTCATCAGGACCGCGAGAGTATAGATGATGTAGTATGACATTCGGTGGAAGATCTTGAAGAAGAGGAGACGACGGAAGCTGAGATGTTTCCAAGAAAATAAGCGGCCGAAATGCTCTAAGTGCTCGATATGGTGCACCAAGTTGCTCTACTGGGAATAAATTTTGGCCCACAGCTAACTCCAATTCAGCCATATCCCTGGCCATCCTCAACTTGCCTGATTCAGACAGAGGCCTGACAAGAGAAGCATGCCTGATGAAAAATACTAGAACACGGGAGGCCATACTCCGGACCAGCCTGGTGCATATGTTTTCTGTCCCCGAAACCGTAGTTGTGGAAGGCAACAACCTAGATAGGAACTCACCACGGAAGTGAATAATACACCTCTGCAGCTCCTCCATGTAAGGTGATGCATTGTTGTCCATAGCAGCATCCATTCCAAGAACTCCAAAGTTCTGATCATGTATTTGCAATATGCATGATTCCAGCCGATCAAGCATTGCCTGGAATAAGGATGTCACTGAGTCACAAGCAACACCATATATTGCACCCAATGATGCTGACAACACTTCTGAAGCGATACTGGGCAATCCTGCAAGTATAGATGATACTCGAGCATGAATTTCTTGCAGATGCTGACACAAAGCAAAGTTCCTGAGCTGTGCAGGCGTCGCAGCGCCACTTACTTGACGTGATTCTGGTCCAGTGGATATCTGCCATCAATGAAAATTACGTGCAACACAAAATTAGAAACATATAGCTATTCTGAGGAATAACAAGTCCTTTGGGTTATCCAAGACCACCTAATTCTTTATGATCAAAACAGAAAACATTTGTCTGTGGCCTCTACAGTGGTCAAGCAATAAAAGAGCATGATTAACTTCCAAAACACACCATACAAACATCCAGAGAAATAAGTGTATTAGACCTGCAAGTTTGGAGTAAATAATCTGTTGTGATTGTATTAAGTACAAACCCTCATAGACCCAATCTCTAAATCCTCTAGCGGAGCAAAAAAGAAACCCAGAACTAGGCAAGGATTGCCAACAAAGTAAGATCATCAATGTCTATATCATTAAGATTTCTAGAGATGAGAAGATTCCAAGTAGAATCATTACTTTGATTGCTCAAAATACAAAGATTGGAGCATTTTGTAAATGCATATAACCTGAAAAGATGAGGATCAAGATCTGAAAAGAATGAGATTCCAACTACATGGTCTTCCCAAAACTCAGCTCCTATAGGGTCTTCACAAAACTCAACTATATTGAGTTTCATTATTACTTCAGGCTAGGGTGTTTAGATTAACTTTTTAGAAGTGACTTTATGGTATATGAGATAAGCATATGAGAGAAGTTTTGTTTTGGCTTATATGAAAGTACTTTTTTTAAGTGCATTTAGGGGGTTACCAAACACCCCCCAACATTCAAGTAAAGATGTGTAGGAGGTGATTGAGTTCCTTGAAATGCTGAAATGCAAATGGAATAATTTGGAAGAAGAACTCCAATGAAGACTCACATTCTAATCTTACAAGAAGTTAAATCTCATATATCTGAGGAAAAGCTTCTTCACCCTTTCTATGCAATTGAATCATCTCTCTGACTTCTCTAAAGTTACAGCCTGTCCAACATAAAAGGGGATTGCAGACTTTATCCTACCGATGGACTCTTCCAATTTTCTTTCTCCCTGAGTTTGCCAAGAAGAATACTGTTCACATGTGTACTCTTTCTTTCTCTCCCACTAATATAAGCTCACAGAGTGAAAAAGGGGACACATCGAAACAGCTTAACTAAATATAAAGGAAATGCCTGATTTGGAGGAATACCTGGTATTCAGCTCGCTCTGCCAGAAGAAGTAAGACCTTTCCAATTTCACGTAAAACAAGGAGAGTCAAGCGTGCATCCACCTGAACAGCTTGTATCTCTTCCTGAATGCGTAGTATAATTCTTGAGATCTGTTCTTTAGTGGGAACACTTCCTCGACTGGAGACTGGAAACACAGAATTCACTAGATCTGAAAGGCGTCCCAAGCAGAGAGCCAAGAAAGCAGTCTGGAATATTTCAATAGCTGAAACCATATGATCTTTTCCCTCTGAAGTAATAGCTGGTAACACTCCTTTAACATCTGTCTCACGTGAAATTCTTTCAAGGAGACTCTCGATCATGGAGTAAAGCTTTGGGTACCCCATTGTAAAAATCTCTTTGACAAAACTTGATGCCGTGAAAGTGGACTTCATTTGACTAGTAAAAGCCTTCACAATAGCTTCCCAGACTCGATTGGTTAACATGGGATCACCTTCCTATGCATTAACAGCTAAAGTTAGAAAAAGAAAATAAAGTGATCACAGGCTAACAACATTAAAAATTAGCAAGCTACAGTCATTGTTCCCCTGTAAGAATGTTATACATGTCAAGATGATAACACCATACACATGGCTCTGGTCTTCCTCACTTCATATACATTATAGTACTGCAATCCCCATACCATGTCATCTATTTGGAAGGTCTAACAGCAAACTTGGGGAAGAGAAGGGGAAAGACTTAAACAGAAGACTAGCATGTGGCTTGTGCCATCTTGCTCTTAAAAAATGATGTATTACCGTTGTGCAATCTTTACATGTATAGTTCCATTTGCACCAGTGCAGTGCCAAGATTATATAGATCTATATCATATGAGTCTCTCCAATAAAAATGAACATTAGTATACAGCAAATTGTAGGTTCATTACTATAAAATTACCCGATGAAACAGTAAATTGTATCATTTGTAAGGTGCCGTCCATCATTTCCTATATTTGAAAAGAAATGCACACAGAAGAAAAACTTCTAAATGCTAAACTTCTAATATATTTCATTACATATAAGCTATGAAATTTTAGACTGCATCCATGGTGAATAAAATTAATGCTGGCATCTGTGACTGCATCATATTGGCAAAATCCATTCCAAGAGGCAGATTCCCAGTTAATGGCGTTTTTCAGCATATAGTCAGTCGTTAAACTAATAAATGCACAGCTGAAGTGCTTTGGACATCTATTAAGAGAAATTGGATTGATTAATCCTCTGTATCTGTCATATGAAACAGACTAATTAGACTTAACAGTCTGACAGAAACAATTTTATCAAGACCTTCCCACCGAAGCAAAAAATTATCATATCCTACTCATTACGAAACTACTATAACCAGACGCCAGGCGTCATTATTCATGAAACCTTAATTATTCAATCATAAGGTTCTTATCGCTCGTACCTTAATGACCTCATCAAGCAGTAAAACATGGGTGAATGGATCGCGTTTCTTTGACAACACTCTCTGCAAATGCCATACCGCAACAACTATAGAATGTAACTGATCCATACAATTCCCCATTCTCTGCCATAGAGCGTCTTTAGCCTTAGCCCCTCCTCCAATTTGCGGCATCCCGCTGCCTCTAATTCCTCCTGGACCAAACCCGCCACCAGGAGCCCCCGAAATAGCTTTCATATCCAACGCTCCGCTAATGCTCTTTGCACCCATATTCTTATATTTGTTGATCACTTGCTCCACCGTCACCTTCAATTCGCCGAGGTTATAGAAAACTTGTAACCCTGTACCCACCTCAGCTTGATTCAACCCTTCCATTCCTCGTTCCAATACTTTCATAGCCTCATTTCTCAATTGATCCCCAGTTTCTCTCACCCAATTGAGTTCTTCATCAACCACATCGATGCCCACAAGCTCATATTCATTGCATAGGCTCAAAATCTCAGAATGCAGTTGGGCTGCCTTGGCAAGATCAAGTTTCTCGGGCTCTGCACTGGAAACGGCCATCACATCACGAAGCTTCTTCGACAACCGAAGAGCCCGGATCGAGTGCTGTAAGAGCTCAGTGGTGCGATGAAGATTGGAAAGCTGGACGGTCTTCGTAGCGATGGCGCGATGGGGTTCAGATAGCTCAGATCGAACACGACGGAGGGAAGATTGGAGTGAAGAGACGCCAGATCGAACAGTAGACAGGGCATGCTCAGCATGCTTGAGGGAGGACAATTGGGAAAGCAGCTCGTTGTGGCGGGAAAGGACTTCGGATCGGAGCTGATTCTCGAGGAGACGGATAGCATGGTGGAGCTTCTCGGCTGTGGAAGCAGGGGAGCCGGAAGAGAGGGCAGCGGAGGAGAATGACGTGGAGGAGAAGGAAGAGGACAGGAAGGCGGAGAAGATGGGATCGGAGGCGAAGGAATCGAGAGGAGAAGCGGTGGAGGCGGTGGCGGAGGAGGGAGGTGCGGCGGAGGAAGAAGCAGTTGGGGTATTCTTGAAGGTGGAAAGGCGTTGAAGGGGAGAAGAGGGGCCAGAAAGCTGTGTCCTTTGGAGCGGAGTTCCGGCCGTGGCCATTGTTGGTTATTGGTTGAACTCGAGTCTCCGACTCCGCCCTTATGAGACGTCGTTCAGATGCTACAAAGCTCCATGGCCAACCGTAATCCGCAATCGCTTAATGCAACCATTTTCCTACATGCTTCTTAAAACGGTTTTTTGTTACTTGGTTCCATGAGAAAAAGAAATAATTTCATTAAGTAGCTAAAAATTTAAATTATTTATTTTATATAGTTTTAATTCAATTAAAACTCAAACCTTAAATATTGGTATTTATACTTAAAAAAAAAATTGTAAAGGCTAAGGTTTTTTTTTTGAACTATTTTAAATAGTTAAACCATGAAAACTAATTTACACCAATAAAGTATAGAAGATTGAGTTTTAGTTAAATTATAGCCATAAAAATTAAATGGCATCAAATCAAAATTTACAAATTAAGTTTTAGTATAAGGACTAAATAATTAATATTTCTTATTAAATTACAAAATTTAGGCCATTGTGAAGTCCAAACTCCAGAGTAGTTTACTACAATTTTCCCATAATGCAATGCCTGTTTAGATCAGGGGTGAGATTAATGCGTTTTGAATAAAATTGATTTATAATTATAATTTTGAAAATAGAAGTCTTGTTGAGCTGATATGAATGACTTATAATAAAACCATTACTTTGGGGTAAAAATATATTTTGACATTTTTAATGGGGCGTTTGGCGTTTTTTAATAAAAAAATATAATTTTGCCGGGATTGATTTTGGATAAAATTCAAACAGGCACCAAGAATTTAAAAACAATGCCAACGAAATTAAACTGAAAATTGAATTGATAAAATTCAGATTATTACAATGGAGGTTCTTAGGAAAATAATTAATCTAGTACTTGATATAATATCTAATTAATTAATTATAATATATTAGGAATGTTAGTTAAATTAGCTAATATGATATGTTTCTTGTAAAACATCGCAAGTATCTTTCTTAATGCTTTCTCTCCTTCCTATTTGATTATTGCTGAACAAATGTCAATGAAGTTAATTTTTTTTTTAAAAAAAATGTAATGGATGATGTGCCAGAAAAAACGAAGTGTTGTCGAATTGCGCTTTTTGATAGATTGGGCCTCAGCTTGCAACTTATTTAGATGGCCTCCAGATAGACGGCTTAGGCCCCTCTTATTCCGGTGCAAACAAATTAAGTAAAAACAGCCGGTCTGGTCATCAAACAAGATGGATTCGATTTAACCAAGAAGAGTCAGTACAATTAGTAAGGAGTTGACTCATAATCCATAAGGTTGTGAATTTGAATCCCACTGTTGATGTGAGGACCTTGTTGGTGGTGATCTGTAAGTACATCTGTAAGCATTCTCTGAGCCTAAAGGCATGCCCTAACTCTGGTGAACTCTCGGAACCCAACTCATCTAAACTTTTTTGTAGCAAAAAGAAAAGAAAAGATGGATTTGGTTTACTGGCCCGGGTCCATTAGTTCAATTTGAACCCCTATCATAATAGAACTAGTCGTAATAACTGAGAAAATTAATATATATATTTTATTTTAAAATGTAAAATGAAAATATATTTTTATCATAAGAACATATGTGTTGCTGATAATATTTCTAATTTGATATTCAAATCTAAATAAGCTACTATTCATTGATAATCCTATATTGAATCCAAAATGTTCAGCTAATAATTCATCATCATAATATTCATTAAGTAAATTAATAATTAAGTTAAAAGAGTAATTCTCATACTGGAAACTGAAAATTTTATACTAAATGATGCTGTTTTGTATTAATTACTAACAAATAAAGTTACAAAGTTCACAGCTAATTTTTCTTTTGTTGTGCGCAGAGATCTTCTAAATACAAGCACCTTATCGCACGTTTACTATCTTAACAACATATTTACGTTGAAATTTGAAACCATGTCTTTTAATCATTTTATGAAAGAAGCATTGAGTTTTTCCAACCACGTTTAAATGAAACAAATTAGCAACCTCACGAAGTAGTTATTGGCATGATAAACTCAATCTAATGGAACGAATCATAAATGTTTTTTTTTCCGAAGCAAAAAATGATTAAAACAAAATAGTTTATGTGAAAATTAATCCACACACACACAAAAAAGATCATAAAATATAAGCCAAGCATTTTTGAGGATTATAGCTTATGGGCTTACTAAAAGACCATAAAAATGTTGCTATTCGAGCATTTAGATCTTGAGTTCAATTTGAAATTGATATCGTAAGAGAAAAAGAAAGTCTTAAAAAAAATCTATAAGTTTCAAATAATAAAAGTAAATACAGATTAAATCTCCTCAATTCCATTTAATACCAATAGTTGTTGAATGACTAAATTAAATATTTATATATTTAATTTATAAACGACACAATTCGCCTTGTGAATATTAAATCTTTTAAGATTATTAGTATTAAATAAAATTTGCGGACCTAATTTACATTTAAACCTAAATAATCAAATTTTAGAACATTTGCATTGTATTATATTTTTATTTATCCTTGAAATAATCACAATTTAGATTTTAGATATTATAATTCATATCCTACGTTTATATTTATTAATTTTAAATGAACAATTTTTGTTGCTTGGCCTTGGCCTTTGCCTTCTTCTTGCAGACATTTTTCTGTTTTAACTCTTAATCCAATGTATTGATTTAAATTAATAACGTCATACTCATATTAAGAATTAAGAAATTAACCATAATCAACATCAAAAAGGGAAAAGCCACAACTGAATACAAGTAATTAGTAATTACTACCTGCGCATATTTTCAGTAAAAATAATTATTCCGTGATTTTTAACAACCGATTATGATGCAATTAATCAAATAATTTACTTGAAGCAGGTAATTAAGAAGTTGAACTGGCCATAAATTTTACATTGAATAATGAAAATAGAAGAGGATTAATGGCAGAAAAAATGAGACAGAAAGCAGAAGCCCAGAAACCACAAGGATTAGCAAGGTTTTATCTATTTCATTGATAATTAAATATACACATAAGAAGAAGAAAAAAAGAAAGAAAAGAAAATTCAGATCATTAAGTAAAATTACAATTCTGCAGCTCTTATTGATTAAACAGCCTCCAAGAGTCAGACAGAAGACGCATTTATGTGAAAATTAAATTAATTAATGAAATTAACAACAAAAATGAGGAACTGAGAAAACTGAGATATACTGATCAGAAGTGGCAGCCACAGCAGAGGAAGAAGAAGCAGAGGGTAGACACAAGCACGACGGCTTCAACGACAGAGAGTATCTTGAAAACGACGGTGTCCATGATCGTCGTTTGGAGATCCAATCTCTTCCAGCGAAACGACGACAACCTCCACGGCCTCCACAGCTCCTTGCTCATCACCTTCTTCAGCCACATCGCCTTCGTCGTCTTCCCCGACCCCATCGAATCTCTCTCTCTCTCTCTCTCTCTCGTGTCTGTGTATTTGTGTCGTTTTGGGGAATTTGCAGAGAAGGAAATGGAAGGTGAGGTGCGTTTTATATGGAGGTGGGAAAGGAATGGGATGCTTTGGATGCTTCAGGGAGAAGGGTAACTGCTGGCCTTGGCTGGCCGGAGACGATAGGGGCTCAACACAACTTTTTATGGAGGGTACTTTTGTCACTTTGTGAGCGTTAGGGGTAGTTTCGTCTTCACGGTTACAGAAATGGTTAGGAAAGTAAAAAAAGGTTAGTAATATTTATTTATTTAATTAATTTTGTTAGGTGAGCTGGCATGGAAGCAGGATCATGTTCTTACTCCATCATGTCCTCATGTCCTCATGTCCTAAACATGACTCCTGAGTTATTTGTTTTTAGTGTGATTTACATTTTTTTTCCCTCTACTATTTAATATTCAAAATTTTCTCTCACATTTAATATCCTTATTTTAAAAAAAATATATTACTAAAGAATATGATACACACTTTCTTACACAAAATTACCTCTGATTATTAATATAAAACATAATTCACTAATTTGAAGAAGATAAAAAAGTTATTAAATTACTTTAAACTATTTATATTTATCATTTTTTTAAATTGATTTATTTTATTTATAAATTGATATATAATCTAATTATCCATATAAATATTTAAAAAAATCATATAACATATGTTATACTTAAGTAATTTAATAAATTTCATCATCTTCTTAAATTAACCTTATATTAAAGCTCGAAGTAACAAATAATTAATTCTTTTAATGTTTATAAATTAGTTAACTAAATATTTTTACTTAAAGTAAAATATATACTTCAAATTTAATTTTTTTTAATTTTTTAACGGTATCTAGAAGGGGCGCACAGAATCTACGGGAAAGCAGGCTGCATGTGAGCAGGTCTCCCGCGTTATTGTCGCGTACGAGGAGGATTAATGAATTGAGGCTTGTTAATGTGGAATTGCGGACATGCCTGCCACTTACTTACACCAATGATGCGAGACAATATTCACAAGCAAATTAGACAATACATTTCATAAAAGTCCATGTACTTGTTCCTTCTTATGTTGCATTTTCCTTTTATCTCGTCAATTGCCTATGCATGCTCTCGTCTCTTTCATTGCATTAAATAGTTTCTACCAACTTGTTTCTAGAAAAATCCTTATCATTAGCTAAACAAAATTAAAGAGAAAATTTGAGAAAAAATACTCCTCCGGTCCTTAATATATGACTCAATTCTTGAATTGATTTTAATTCTAAATATAAGACTCATTTCTCATATTTTTCAATTTTTTTTAAATTACTCCTATAGATACTCTGTGAATCATAAACAAGTAGAAGGCGAAGATGGGGTATTAAGAAAGATGATTATGGTATTTTAGGAAAAATGTGTCACTTTTTTTTATAATTAACTAACTTATCTAACTTCTTTAATCTAATCAAATTAGTTAAATGGGTCTTTATTTTTTCCCCTTAAAAAAGACATGGGATCTTTTTTGTTAATTAATTATTGTTTTTCCTATTTTCTCTTGTTTATTCAAATGAAATTTTAAGAAAGAAATGCAGTTACTAAAAAACTTTGCAACAAATGAGCAGCATGAAATAATTAGTTTTGATACCGAAAATGACAATATTCATCGATTCAATGCTGTTCACTTATTATGAAACATTTTGATTTGATTGCATTTTTTTTCAGGTCAAATTAAAAGTTTCATAACAATATAGTCAATATTAAAAAGGAGCTAATACAACAAAACAAGATTATTATACATGATGAAATTCACTAACATTTAGTTTTATTGTGGTTAATTATTTTTTTGTTATCTCCAGAAAGAATTTGAATTTTAGATCGAAATGACAAAAATGACCTTGGATCTTGATATCCTGTTCCCCGGGTCGCTCAAAAGCGGGTCAAGTGGTCCCTTTGGATGCAACCTTTACTCCTTGGACGTTACCTAATCATGGTGTTATTCTCCACGCTTAACGTCATTCTCCACAACGGCTACTAGTGCCAGTCTAATTTATCCCTATAAAAATCTTTTTAAGATAAACATATAATAATATATCTACACATATTTTTATAAAAAAAATATATCATACTTTTGCATATAAAAAATATATATTGGACTTTTGTTGGAACGCCGGCCAACTCATAACGCATAACTGCCGAGTTGTTGGAGATTTTTTTGTATTTTTGACTGAACCAAGTGGCTGGAGGTTGAACATTTGGAACTTATAATTGCAGAGATAATCATGGAAGTAACGTTGGGTTAAGATTTTACAACTGTGCAGATCTTTTAAATATTAACTAATGACTTGTTTGGTGGGTAACATGTTATGTGTGGTTGTTACATACTTTCATGTCTTTCATGAGCATCAGAATGAAGAGCACAAATGTCCTAATTAATTAGAAGCCTTTTCAAAGTGACAATCTAGTTTTCAAATCTGAGATGAAAATATATATAATGATCATTGAAATTTGGGAACATTTAAGAATGGTCTCTTGATCTTTGCTTATAATTTCTATGAAGACTATTATGAAATTAAAGCTGTTACTTATTAAACTCGTGTTGTTATTTCTTTTCTTCTTTTTTTTTCTGATTTCAAACTAACGGCATTTTGGTACTTTTGACATAAAAGATAACCCCGGACTACTCCCTAAGAACTTCGCAATGATTCATTTCGATGTTTTGAATTGATATTTGTGTATTAACGGGAGTTGAGTTTAGCGGAAGAGATTGACCTTTCATAACATGGCAAATAAAGGTTTGAATTTTTAATGAAAGAACTGTCAATGTTTAGTGCTTAATAGTGTTTCGAATAAAATTGTTTCCAATAAAATGATGTTTTTGTGTATAAAATTTTTTCTACAATGCTCAAGCTTTACATTTTTTGCCTAGTAAAATGCTCGAGCTTTACATTTTAACCCTCCTAATTAGTTTCCAATATATATATATGGGTAAGAAAGAGTCCAGGTTAATATTACTATCTTCAATCTGGTCATAAATATATAATATTTAAATTCATTTTGTCTCTAATATTTATCCATTTCGTCCCAAGTGATTTCTATGGTAATTACACATGTGAAGAAATTTTTATTAAAGAGTAATTTCAATGTACATAATTAATATGAGTATTTTAAATAAGACAATATTTATTTATTATAAACAAATAACTTAAATAATTGTTTAATATTTACAAACTAATTATGTGGCTCTTATATTTATCTACAACTGGAGGTAGCAGTTTGCAGCTACTTTATTCTTTTTTGTCCTTTTTTGTTTTTACCAGAGTTTGCAGCTACTTTATTCGGTTGTTGCTTTAATGATCTGTGATTTTTTTAAAAAAAAATTTTAGTTGTAAGGGCGTTAATTAATCACAAAAAGCAGATGCATATGACGACACTGGAATACTCTGTTTAAGCAGGGCGTACAAGTGAAACAAGCCTTTTAGCTGCAAGCATTTGACTGGTGTGTGAATCTAAGCCTTGCAATTGTCTAACATGTATTCAAGAGAATAAATTCTGGGATCAATACCGGCCATGTAGAATCAAGACCATGAAGGAGTGCCTCTCGTTTTCAACTTTATTAAAGTCTGATTAGTTTCAAAAGAATTAAATTGGTCCAATTAGTTAATGTACAATTCATTGGTTTTGTATTTTTTTTAATAAAAAGTTTAGGTGAGTTGTGTTCCATGAACTCACACAAAACATGCGAGCAGATACTTATAAATCACTTATCAATGAGGTCTTCATGTAGACAATGAGCAACAAACTACTAACTCTGGTCTTAATTATTAGAACTAGTTGACTAATTTGAAGAGATTAAGGAAACAAGTTAAGTTAGTTATTTGTAACATATAGGTATTGTTTTTTCTAAAATATCCTTACTAATCAAGTGTATTGATTAGAACTACTAGTATTAGAAGGACTACCTTAGGAAAAATAAATACATAAATATGAGAGACAAAATAGATTTGGGTCTTATATTTAGGATCAAAATAAAAATCAAATGAGGTGTTATATTAAGGACTGAAAATAGTATTTGTTTTGCAAACTTTAAATAGAGAATGCAAACACTTTGTTAGATTGGGAAGCCTTGAGATCCAACTGGGGGAATAAAGAAAAAAGAACACACAGAGGCATGTTTCAAAGTAAAGGATGAGATGGAGCTTGCTTAGTACCTAGTTTTGATGAGCCAGTGGGTCTATACACTAAACTGAAGATTCTATCAAAGGGGGTGTTTGAATACCCTGAAAAGTGCTTCTCAGAAGCATTTTTTGTCCAATCGAGATAAATTCTTTCACATATTTACCTCGTAGACTGTAAAATCACTTCTAAAATCATAGTTTGGTTTTCATCTAAACGCCTCCAAAGTGTCATTTCAGTGGGAAGCTTTTTATGAGAGGTTCTTCATATTCATAATTCACGTCTCTCTCTGAAAATATACTCATCAAACTTGCTTTTAAAAGTGGAAGAGCTGGACATCATTCGCTATTCGTCTACACAGAATGCAAAAGAGAGATAGGTATATATTCCCTTCAGGATTTCCACCTAACTCAATCTCTCTCTCTCTCTCAAAAGGAGAACGCCAAGTGTTAAACAAGACTGATACTTTTGCAATTTAAATAAGCAAATTAATATTGTGGTCCTTGTATATGTAACTCAAGTGTAAACCTGAGGGTATTTGGATAAGATCAAAACCATGATTTCAGAAATGCTTTTACAGTATACGAGGTAAATATATGAAAGAGTTTATCTCGATTTACGAAAAAATACTTCTAAAAAGTGATTATTGGCGTACCCAAACACGCTCCTAGTTTTTAAATTTTGATTTAGTACAATTATAAGTTCTATGGTTTTAAGGGTTAAATTTTAATTCTGCTCAGAAGTTTAATTACATGTATGCACTGTGAGTACTCAACAGTTTTTATTGAATCAATATTGTCTCGAACGTGTTAAAAAATAAATATTGCCCTTAGTTGTTAAAAATATTAGCAATCAATATTAATCTGTTAACGGTCAATATTATTTTTATCATTAGGACGATTTTGCACTTGTTTTAATATTTTCGGGATGATATTGATTTAACAAAAAATTCCGAATACTCATGACTTTTACG